AATTTATTCCTAAGATTAGGCAAACTATCCAGATTCAGACCATACTATCATGCATTTTAATCTGGATCGTGTCATTGTCCTTGATACGTCGTATTTCATCATCATCCAAATTTATTGTACCAATCAATTCTTTGAAAAAAACGAATATATTGTGTGAGAACGCAATATGATGAGATCTACGTGTGTTTACGATTCAAGCGTCAACATAACCAACTGTACATACAGTCAACACCTCACATATGCCTCCTTCGTTAGAATGTCTTGAACACAACATCATTGCCGATGTCACTTGGTTTTGCATTACCGCTTCCATTCCTTTGTTGTTGACAATGTCTTCCAATATGCACATATTCTTTACATTGATAACATTTAACCGTTATTTAAACTTTATAATTAGAATGTGACTTCCACCTGTTTCCAACTATCTATTTCTTGTGATCCCCACATGCCAATAAACAAACCTGAACCGGAACCATGTTCATTACTAGAAACCCTACATTTCAGGTCCTTGGACAACAAGGCATCCTTCATGTCATTGACAATAGTTGTTGTCCTACCATACAACATGTTATCATTGAAATTCTACTACAAATTCGATAGAGAACATAACAAAATAAGAGTTTGGTCCTCATCTTCATTTTTAACGTCAATTCCTTATAGATCATGAATACGATCAAAATTATGTAGATGATATTTTACCTAGGTACTTTTGGTCAACATGAATGTATATAAACGTTGTTGAGAGTTATGTCACAAAGTTTCTCCCATAACCCAACAGTAATTGTTTGATCCACAACCTCCCATAACACTTCGTCGGTCAAGCATAACATAATCACACTATGCAATTTTGCCAGAATATTAGCTTTCACATGCGTCGTCATCTCGTTTGGCACTTTTGCATCTCCTTCTACTGTTGTCGTACAACAATATTGAACCAGAGAGCCTTCATTTTCACCTTCCACAACGTGAAGTCATTCGAACTATTGAACTTCTCCAAATTGAACTTGTAAGACGACATCTCTTCAATCAAAAAATATAGTCGCTCGAATAACTGCAACTTTGATATCACTTGTTACGCAAAAAAAAAAAAAAAACATAGTAAATTAATGTGGTTCAATCAACGTGACATACATCTATGGGCAGGAACTGAAGAACTCTTCACTCTTAATTGTTTTCAAAGTGATTACATTAGAATATCTAAGTATGAATACTTATAATCATAAACTCTAACAACTGTTCGGCAGAACCTCGTAATTAAATAACTCCAAAATAACTAAATAGGTTCTTAATTGGCTTTCGGCTTAACTCGAAACCTAATAGTCTCATGTTTGCAGTGAGAGATTAGTCGGTGCGCGAAAGCTAACCCGAAAATCTTTGTTAGTGAAGTTCTCTATAAAACAAAAAACCTAACAACCTCAATCTACTACAAACACTTAATCTTTTTTTAACTTAATTTGTTACGAATCAAATTATTCATTCGAATAACCAAAAATCCAAGTAATACTCTAGAATAACTCATGTATAACGCTTTATTTGATCCGAAGCCGGTAAAAAGAAACATGAATGATGAACCTACCAACCCACCGGCCACCGCCACACTATCACAAATTCACAATAAAGGGTCATAACTAATGTTCCATGTATGTTGCCTTTCTGTTAGGTCATGTGACCAGTGCACCTTTTTTTTCATGATTTTTTTTTCATTCTAAAACATTGAGCTATCTGAAAAATACAGTTTTACCTTTGCTTTCTAAAAAATAGTGAATAACTCCTTATAAATCTTATTTTATTATTGTTCATTATCTAATATTTGTTAAACCAAAAAGTACACACCAACCCAAAATAGGGCTTCAAAAGTCGTATAATTTCCTTTCAAGAGCTTCGAGAGTTGCAATATTTTTCAAATTTAAATTATTATTCAGAATCCTCACGTAATCCGCCCAATTTGAAATCTTCTTCATTTCAATCAAACCCTTGCTCGTGACAACTTCATCTGCATTTCCGTGTGAGTTAGCTTTGAATTTGATACTGTTAATGTCGATTTTCATTGTTTGCTTGTGAAATTTGTGATCCGATGGCTACATCGGCATTTAAGTCGACGACGAAAAGAGATCCGATTGGAACTTCATCGCCCTCAACTGACGACTCGCCGACCTCTTCGGCGTCTAAGGCTCACAGACGTTCTCGAAGTCTTAGTAGATTCTCACGGCCGATTCCAGCGGAGATTGATTCAGGTGTTCTTCCTACTCCAAGGCGCAAGTTTGTTAACACCGTGAGAGGTTCAGATTTCCCGGAAATTAGTCTTGATGATCTAGCAATTGAGTTTTTCTCGGGGAAGGATAACAGCTCTGAGGTAGATGATGAGAGTGGAAGCAGTAGAAGCAGCCGGCCTGTCCGTGTGAAGTCTGAGATTAGTCCTGTGCTGGGTTCGTCTCAACGGCGTGGGAGGTCTGTGTCAAGGCGTAACGATGATACTGCTTCTAATGCTGGTGGTACAATTAGAGCTGTGCCACATGCTGAGATTAGTTCTGTAACACCTTCGTCTCAAAGGCGTGGGAGGTCTGTGTCGAGGCGTAACGATGGTACTCCATCTAATGCTGGTGGTATTACTAGGGCTGTTCCAAATGCTGATTCAAGGAGGAGGCGGTCTGTATCAGTTGCACGGTATCAGATTAGTGATTCTGAGGTATATTTTAGTTTTGACTTGATTGTATACTGTTATGTGTATGCTGAGTATCTTAGATGGAATCTCACCTAAATAAGAGTAAAGTAGAATTCTCAATGAAATCTATGGCCCATTGATACTGTTATGGGAAATATGTTTAAATATTTTCTCAAATCTTCATTGGTAATGCCTTCCAATCTTCACATAACCTTTTATAGCTGATCAAATTTGCTTATCTGATTGACAGAGTGATATAGATCTTTCCCGGAGTTCTACCAATCAGCCCAAATCTAGGAGCATCAATAATGGCAATGGCAATAGTCGGGTTGCTTCTTTTCAAAGACCCACTGCTTCAAGTCATCGAAAACTAAGCAGGTCTATGAGTCAAACACCTCAATGGAGGTCACACGATGGCTACTCGGTAAAGCCAACACGTCCTCAAGTATTATTTACTGTTTATTTTGATATTTGTTACATTCTTTTAGCTTGAAAAGCTGTATGAAACTATGAATAAATCTTACACAAGTCTTAATGGTGTACACTGTCTATGGTAATCTCAGAGCCAGTCTTCAGCATTGACTGATGATGATTCAAGAGATGCCCGTTACGGGAAAAATGAAATTGAGAAGACTATTCGAGCTGTTTATGCACAAAAAAAGGTGTGTGTGTGTGTGTTTTCTTTCTATAGTGGAAGTGTGTGGGGGGTTTATGATTGTGTCTGGACTTATACTGTTTATATCTGCAATTTTAATCATCCAATCTTATGTTGTAGATTGACCACCCCACTGGGGATAATGTTGACAATGGACTTTATCAAGCAATGAGAAAAGAGCTTCGATCTGCTGTGAATGAAATCATGATAGGACTTGAACAGGTCTATCTGTATTTAAAAATTTTAAATGTCATGAACATGATGCTTCAAAATATATTTGTTGACTCCTGCATTTTTTCTGTAAAAAAAAAATCCAGACCATGGAAAGAAAGCCTTCTGCATTGTCTGTCCATGATCGCTTGCATTCAAACAAATCCGATGGTCTTCAAAACAAGACTATGACTACAACAAGAAAGAACTACCCAACAAAGTCAAAAGAGGTAATAAGGTTTAATCTAGTATATAATTTAGTAACAGTTGGATTCATGGTTAAAAGTTGGAACTTTAAATGATGTTTTTTTTTAGCATCAGGGTGAAGATGGGTACAAGATTGTTAAGGAGGTGCTTCCTGAGTCAAAGAACAATGCTAATGCACAGAAAGCTTCATACTCCAGAAAGGTATAGTTGTATAAGACTACATTGTTGCAACCTTTGTAGGGTTATTTATGATGAGGAGGAGGGCATTTTTACAGCAATGAGAAATGCAGAGAAACTTAAGTTTTTAAAGGGTAATGGTATTGAACTTGCAGAGGAGCAATGATAGGAGCAGAATGTCTAAAAGATTAAACGAAGAAGCAGAGAGGTATCTTGAAGACTTCATATCAAATATTGAAGATACAGATTTTTCTTCTTTTGATGGTGAAAGAAGTGACACGAGTTCAACCTTAGTTGGAGCTACAAAACCAATCCAAAATGGTAGTCCTGGTCCTGTGGGTGCAGCAGCAGGAATGAAGTCTGTTCCAGTTGAAATGGAAGGCGTTAATCTACCTTGGTTGAAATGGGATGACACTGATGCTGTTATTTCAACTCCAACAAATACAATACAGACTCCTACAACCCCAAAACCAAAACTGTGGGACCCATCTCAGGTAATTAAATTATTCATCATCTCTTAGTTTGTACCAGTGAATTTTCAACTTTGGATTGTATGGTACAGGATTTGGAATTGATCCAAGAACAACAAGGCAGCAGCAGCAGCCATGGAAGTTGGGACCCACCTCTACATAATAAAAGTGCTTCTTCAACGAATAGAAGAGAAAGCAAAAGCCATGATGGATGTTTGGACATGAACAAGTATTTGGAGCTTGAGAAGAATGAGCAGCTCATGTTTGATAGGTGGAGGGAAAGAAATGTGATTCGGTCTGGTGGTCTGTTGCTTTCTGGCGTACTAGTCAAATCTTTCTTACATTTCTAGCTTTAATTTATTAATCTTAATCTTCTTGCCTTTCATTCAATTAATATATTTAACACTTGTTTCGGGTAGGTTGGTAGGTTTCAGAATTAAAGACAGCCATTATGTTGGGTTGGGTTGGGTTGTTATCAGTTTTTAGCAGTTGAGATCTATCTATTGATTATTTGAAATACAAAAACAAAATCATGTACAAAAACATAAGGTTGCTATTTCATAAAATTTATACCAACTGAGTAAATTTATCCCTCCCATAAAAACTCAGAGAGCACAGTAAAAAAAAAAAAAAAATTGCATTTGTTGCAAGTGAACATACCCTCTCGGGCTCAGTAGTTGCTACAAAGAAAGAATTCCGTCGATACACAATAAACCAACGCCAAAAGGAAAGGAATACAGTCAGTGGTTTCCATTCCATCTCCAATCCGTTATCATTATATATATGCACTTGCTTGTTTCCATGGCAAAAATAAAAACTCACATCCATCCTCTTTGACTTTGACTTTGAAAAAAAATCTATCTTATCCTCTGGCTGTATGAAGAAAGTGTTGAGTGAGTCAGTCGATCTCTCCTTCCTCTGGATCATCTACTTGTGTAGGTGGAGCAGGTTCATCTTCCTCTTCATCTTCATCATCATCTTTCATGTATAAACCAAGCTGCTCTAATGGATTACGTTTTCCATCAAAGTTGAAGGCACTGCCAGTCCCTCCTCCTCCTAAACCTAAACCTAAAGGAAGAGGGCTCGGGTCCACCAGACCAAGACCACAATCTGCACTAGTTTCGTCTATCAAGCTTTCTAAAGGCTGTGCAGGTGCTACGCTTAGCATTTCCAAATCATCCAGAAACCCAGAATTGTCATTTATATCAACCATCTTTTCCATCTGTCACATCACATCACACCACTCAAATTTCCACTTATATTTTATTCAACAGCCAACAGACCATCTTATAATAATTAAAATACCTTCTGTATGGCCTGACGTGCGGCTTCCCTTTCAAGTTCCCTCTTCCTTTTGGCTTCAGCTGCAGCTTCTAATTCAGCATTTCTCCGCGCCTCCTCTGCAGCCTTTGCTTCTGCTTCCAATCGAGCTTTTTCTATACCATAACAAATAACAAACTTCAGTAATAATAATAATAACATCCACAACATATGTTAAAAAAAATAAAAAAAAAAACCTTGTTTTCTTCTCTTTTCTACTTCCTCCTTCTCAAGCCTCAACCTTTCCCTATCCTGCTCCTCAACCTGAACCACATCCACAAATACATATACATGTCAGTGAGTGTGTGGAATGGAATGGAGTAAGAGCCAAGAGGGGTAATTTAGACCTTTCCGGTGGTTTTTTCTTGGGCTTTGAGTATGGTGTCAGCAAAACGGCTTCTCAATAGGGCTGCACGGTAAAGCTTATCAGGAGAGACTTGCCTCTCTCTCTCTTTCTCTGATGGAGCAGGAGCAGGAGCAGGAGCATCACTCTCCCCTAAAATAATGTAGCCAGCATTAGAGATCAGATGACATCTCCCAAAGGCCAAAACCAACACTTTCTTCCTTATTTTCATTGCTTACCCTCTTGACGCCCTTCACTTTCACCCGCATCACACTTTTGCTCCCCATTTACACAATCTGAAAATTTTCAAACAAGGACATGATTGATTGTAAACAATTTTAAACGACACTCATTTTTACATTAGCCTCACAATTACCTTTTGCATCATCAGGAACAGGTATTTGCTCCGTATTATTAACTTCACTGCCCATTGTCATTGTGTCCTAAATATGAAACCAATCATCATCAACATAACTTATTATAATGTGAAGAGAATGAATACCTTAGCATTGTTGACAATGGTTGGAGCCTTTGCATCATCTGATTCACTGCCTGAAGAACTCCCTGAATCTGATTCTGCACAAACATGCAGTGGGAAACAGAATCTTGTTCATGAATAACCATGTGAAGAATAGCATCATAAGAGATTTGAATGGATTTATTTGGTATATTTTCATTTCACATGACAAGTCCAGAATGAGAGAATTCAAAAGCTTCAAAGTAACACAAACCACTAGATGCTGATCCGGAACCACTACTGGAGCTACTTGAACTACTGCTTTTGCTGTTCCTCACAGCTGTGTCTCTCTCTATCTCTACTGGAGGGAAGCTT